AGTTAGTGGAGTCACAAACTGGAGTAAAGTAGGCCTGGAGTTAATATCTGCTATGTGCCAGTATTATATTCTCATTTAATCCCTCAAGAACCTTAATTGATGGGTGGTTATTCTCTCCAGCACAACATATAAACTGGGGCTCAGAAGAGTAGAGCAACTTTCTCAAAGTTTCACATTAATCAAATAGCAAAAATGGCATATGAACCTCAGTCCGACGTACTCTAAAAAAAAAACAATGCTCCTGGATCACTCCACTATTCTTCTTTCCTCTATATTTGCATAAAGCTCTTCCCCTTTCAGATGACAATCTGTAAATTACACCATCTAGAAAATCAAGCCGTTGTTATCATTTACCAGATGCTAGTAGATTCACTGTAGCCCACTACGGCATGACAGCCTAACGCTTTGGCATGTGATTTTATTTCTTGTCTGATTTCTGCCCACCACGCGTCTCGAGTTTCTGGTTCATCTGAAAAATAAATTTTAAATCAGTTCACTACTCAATAGCACATTGTCTACTGGAACAAGAAATGTTTAAAATAAGCAGACTCTGGAAGGCAAAGAAGTACTGTTCTACAACAGCTTTGAAAACTCCACATCTTTAAAATGCTACTTCTCAAAAGGCTGATGGACACTTTAATCTGATGCTACTTCTCAAAAAGTTTAACATTTTAAACTTGATTGCTAGAAAATAAACCACCTAGTTCTCTTTGCTTTATTACTTTAAGGGGCATCTACAGGGGCTTATTTTATTAGATACAACTTAAAAAGTAGACCCAGAGTTTCCAGATTCTAATCTTAAACTACAAGGACATCTCATGTCTCACCTCATGAGTGAACACCTTATGAGTCATATCCATAAATTTAATTTAAATTCTAATTTCACTTCCTGGTATCTATTTTTTTTTTATAACACACTATATTCTGGGTTCTTTCCAAGGCAAAGATTTGTCAATGTTAAAAAAGAGAAAGCCATCTATAGCCAACCTTCTAAAGAGATGTGGGTCCTAAAGCAAAGTGACAAGAAATGAGGGGACTGGCCAATTCAAAATAAAGAAAGCAAATACATTTAAAAGATTAATACAAAGAATTTGGTTAACGTATACTAGGACAAATTTCAGACAGAACACTA